TGCCTGAAAGCAGCTCGCCAAAGAAGCCTCTCACACTCAGCTGGGCACTTTGACAAGCCAGCCATTCCTTGCTCACAACCCCCTGCAATCATCCCAGCCCACCGCCTGTCCTGGCCATCAGCTCCCACAGGGCACACACAGGGGGCTCCACTGCAGCTGAAGGGAGGGAGCAGCATTCCAGGAGGGTTCACATGGTTCCCTGCATTCCTGTTCCACACTCAGCACATTCCCCAACACCTGTTTCCATACACACACCCCCTTAGAAGGTCTCTGAGTGGCTACATTGGGGGTCTCTGGTGGTCACCCGTGCCTGGGGCCCCAAAGTTCTAAGTCACCACCTTATCACCTTCAAACAGTTCACCTGCTGACAGAGCAACTTGGTGCTGCTTGGCTGCTGCCTCAGTTCCCTTCCTTCTGCTTTCTTTACTTTGCTTCCTTAGTCTCTTTAAATCCCTTGACTCAGCTCCAGGGAGTTTCCAGTGGTACATCCTTCCCACACATCCCTAGGGAACAATGCAGAGTCCTCACCATCCTACCATTCCCAGGAAGGCACTTCAGGGACTGCCTGTGGCTCAGGGAGGACTCAGGTGGCTTCTTTTCTTCCTTCCCCAGTTCTGCATTTTCTCCTTGAAAAAAGAAAAGGTTTCTTGGCTTGCCTTGCTCCTGGAGATGCAGCAAAGGGCATCTTGAAATCTAAGACTGCCAACTACTCACGGTTGTCATTTCAGGTGCTTCTCTCAGGTCCTGCACTGATCAATCCTCTTTGCAGGTTCTTGCAGTCACATTCTGGAAGCAAACCACAATGAGCAAATTTAGCTATTACTGCAACCAATACATTCTGGCACTGTGATTTTAAAGGATTCTGTGTTTTCCCTACCCACAGAGATCTCAGCTTCATGGTAATACCTACAGGCTCTGACCTTGTCCATGCTCCCTAAAGCTTTCCCCTGGGAACACAAAGCTTTCCACAAGCATTTCCTACTTCAGTTAGGACTTCCAGCACATCTAAAGACAATTGAAATCAGAATGGAAGGACTTGGTGACAGCACAGCATTGAGTCAGGGACATCAGGACACTCAAACCATACTCACTGTGGACTCTCCAGCCCCAGCACTCCTGCAGCCTCCTCATTTCCCACAGACACTCACTTCTAGTTCAAGGACTCCCATCAGGAAAAGGATCCCCCTTCCCAGAAGCCAATCCCCAAGGCTCTTGTTACAACCTGCAAACCACAACAATGACCAAGGGCAGCTGCTGGCAGAGGACACAAAGAGGATTGTGGGGATCACACATCTTTACCTGGCAGGGCTCCAAGTTTCACCTGCCATCCACAAGCAGCTCTGGATTTTCAGGCTGCTTTGCTTCACAGGGCCTTTTCTGCCAAGCTCACTGCTGGAGGATTTTGTCTGGTCTTGAGACACGTCTTACAAAGCTGAGCTTCAGGGGAACTGGGGCACTTTTCATTATTCCTCACTCTTCCAGGGCTGCACTTGCCAGGATCCTTTGGGCATGAGGAACCTTCCAGACTGCCCCAAACCTTCACAGCCCACTTGCTCTTCTTGCCACGGTTGGACCAGCTCAGTGTCCCTGCAGGAAGAGAAAAATCAATGATTCTCTCTGAAAATAGAACCTGCCCCACTTTGCTTTCCCATTCCATGTGTTGTTCCTCTCTAACCAGTTTGTGGGACTCATTCCCAGCCTCCTGAGGTTCATTTCCCACCTCACTCGTGGCTGCACTAGAGCTGCTTCTCCACACACACAGAAGGAGCTGCTGCAGCTTGTCCAGTTTCCTGCTTCTCCTTGAAACTCCTGCAGCTGTTTGCCCAGCTCTCCAGGCTCCATTCCTTTGCCCACTGCACTTGTTGCCAGC